GTTTTGTGAGTAACACAGAGACTAGAAAAATACTATACGACCCGTCATTATTCATAGGAGGTGTTCCCCAATACAACCGATTCAGATTAATATTAATGTCATTGTTTGGTATGATTTGGTTCAAGAATTTACATTTATATCCATCAAAACGCTTGGTATCGACCATACATTTACTGGATATAATTAGGGGTAAGAGACAACCTGATCCACTAATTGACAAACAAAACATCGATATCCGGGACATTGTATTTGTGGCTAAGATTTGTCACAACGTTTTCATTAATACGTATATATTTTTCTGTAAGTATGCTTATTATGCTTAATTCATTTTACTTAAACTGTTGTCATTAAACTTATTATTTAATTATAAAATAGCAATCCTGTACACTTATTTGAGTGTAACATTAATAATTAATAATTACAATTATTGGGAATTTATCGTATCATTCATACCAATTGTGATAAATTTTGTAACATTTTATGTCATACTATCGGACACAATGTTTTTCATATGCATAATACCAATCAAAACATATGTCATCCAACGAATCATTGGAAGTCTTAATCAAAAGATAACTCATGTATTCAACACTTATAACGAATTCCCACTCAATAGACTCGATATGTATAGAGATGTTAAGGATTTCATAGTAAATCATAACGATTTGTGTGCAAAACTCGCCGATTATAACCACTTTTGGAGTCATTTAGTATTCATAGCATTTCTATGTCTTATACCCTTTAACCTGATGCTCACCCATCAGTTCCTCTTTGAAAACAATAGACTGGAGTTCAAGATATTTTCCGGTTTTGTAATCATTGTTTGCCATACATTTATATTTGTGTTTCAATTCATAGCAGCCGTACTCTCATTGAGAATCCATAGGTCGGCCAAACGGCTGTCCCAATTGCAGTGGAAAGCCATGGGTTGGCCATATCATCTGAGATTCAAGATTAAGATTTTATGTTATTTTGAACGACTGTCCAGTGCTAAGAAAATCGGGATTACTATCGGACCATTGGGTACTTTTACAATACCATTGTTTTATAAGGTTTGTGACATCTGAGGGTTTATTATAAATGTGAATAATAATAATAATGCTGTTTTATTTATTAATAAGTAGATTGTGGTCAAATACATACGATATTTTATATTAATCTATAAGTTTGCTCAAAAATTAAAGACCTAAAAAAATTGTATAATTATTTGAAACCATTATAAAATATTTTATAATATATTTTATTAATTATAATATAAATTTAAGATTGTGCCAGGAATATCAAGCAATTAAAAAAATTTCAATTTAATTGTAAACTTTAATAATTTATCATTTTTAACTTGTAATAAACAATTGTTAATTTAAAAGATATCATCATATTTGTTTATATAATTGTTATTTTTATATTTATTAATAAAGTGTAATTCTGTACATCTATCTATGTATTTACTTATGCTATAATTGCACATGATATTAAGATGCAAATGATTTGAGAAAATAGGTCGAGAGAGAGGGAGGGAGAGAGAGAGAGAGAGAGAGAGAGAGAATTTGAGTCCTATATGGCATAAGTTATACCAGTACAGAAATATGTGTACATTAATGAAATATATTGAATAAGTCATTTTCTATAAAATCAATAAATCATAAAACTAAATTAATATAAACTAACGTACATTTATTTGAATATCATCATATATTGTATCACAAACATAAATAAAACTACAATGAAAACTACAATCAACAATTTGTTTATATTTAGAAAATCATTGTTTGATTATTATATTAATGAAGTGAATCAAATATTTAATACTAATAATAGGAAATATTCATTTATTGAAATTATTCAAATCGTGTGTTATTTAATAAATGTAATCAAATTTATAATTTGTTTATTTATCACTAATTATGATATAAGACTGTATTTATATGAGATGACTTTATTTTGGAGAGGGATTAGTGTCTATAATAATCTCGTATTAATGATAGGAAATTTATCCGGGTTAGTGCTGTTTATTATATGTCGTTCACATATCAACAAAACAACAATTAAATGGATAGAACTTATTGAAGTAGTTAGAGGCAAAATTGATCCTGGTACTAATAATATGTATAATCTGATAAAATCTAGTTTGAATAAACCACGTATGCTATTGACTGTATTGTCAAATATTTGCTGGCTCATTTTTATTTCAATGGGTAAGTAATCATACTAATTAACTAGAAAAATAACTTTTCTGACAATTTAACATTATTTAAGTTTATAACAAAATATTTTCATAATTATTATTTATAGTAATTCTGTGGACATTCCTTACGATATGGATTGACATTAACTACTATTCATACAAATCATTATTAATCGCAATTATACCACATCTCAGCCTAAATCTGGCATTTATTTCATTAATGAATGAATGGTTGCGACTAATCTATTGCCCACCTATTGTCATACACACCGCAATTATGGCAACTAAATCAATAAACAGCCGGGTCCACGGCATACTAACTATTAAAAAATCACTTTTAAGTCGTAAACTAGACTTATATCAAGCAATGAATGTATTCCTGAGTCAACACAACGAGTTATGTCACCTGATATACGACTGCAACCTTATGTTGTCTCAGATCTACCTGTCCTGTGTGCTCGCGATAGTGCCCTGCAATCTCTTATGGATCTACCAGTTTTTCTTCGAGCACATGGAACTTGAGATCTATATATTCATTGGCATTGCCATTACACTGTGGACATCTGCCTTTTTTGGTTACCAATTTGGTTTCGCTTATATGAGTCGTGAGATTCACGGCACGTGTAAACTGTTGGCACGTATTCAATGGCATCTGAAGGGATGGCCCATACGGTTGAGGACTAAACTTAAAGTAATGACATATTTCGAGAGATTGAGTAGTAATAAGAAAGTTGGTATTACTTGTGGTCCCTTATTTGTGCTCACATTCCCATTATTTTTCATGGTATGCATTACTTTTTAGTTTTTTTATTTATTTAATAATAATGATTTTTATTTTCAGATCATTATCAAGAATATACGCTATTTTCTGTTAATATATAAATTTTCGAATAAATTAAAAATGAATGAGCAATGAAATTCATTTTATCATTAAAATCGTATTCATTTATATATTTTCTACATCATTAAAATCATATTACAATATTCTATATGAGAATACTTTATTTTTATATAATATTGTTATTATCAATCGTACATATAATCAATAAATTTTGAAACAATTTCTTTTATTTACACAATCGATCGGTATAAGTATAATGCAGTATTTTATGATAAATAAAATTATTTTTATTTACTGGTAACTTTCTCATTTTCCATAAACTACAACATATACTATAAAACGTATACTTTTTAAAAATATATTATTTAGAATTGTTATTATTTATATAAATTTTTAGTTATAATTTTCAATATAAACAGTATTTAAATATGAATGTTAAAAATATTTTCATTGACCGTTATTTATCTCGAGTTAACCAAAATGCATATAATAAATGCAGTTCTTTGATAAAATATATAATGATTACACTAAATGTAATTACTGTGGCAAAACAAATTTATTGTTTAAATACTACACGTGAGACCAGGCTTATTTTAGTAGATTACACGGAATTTCTTGGAGGTATACGGCAATACAACTCATATATTGTAATAAATGTATTGGTTTTAAGCATTTATTTGTATATTAAATTTCATCTCACAAACTCTGAACACAAAATGTCCTGGACACATATGTTCTATGTTATAAATGGAATCTATAATGGACCTATTATTCCTAATATATCAATTAACCATAATCAATTTTTAAAGTTGAAACTTTATGCTAAGTTAATTTACAAATTTCATATTTTCTACGTCATGACTTTAGGTATGTTACACTATGTTATACAAAGTTTGTTAACATTTTAAATAAATACAGATATAATTGTAATAATCATATGGATATTATCCTTCCAATATTATACCGGTACATTTAATCTATGTTTAATCATATTAATTCTCTCAATCATAAACATATTTTTGTTAATAATAAATATAAACGTATGTCTAAACGCCGTTACATTTATGGCTATTATGAGCTTAACATTTTATTTTATTTTAAGAAATATTAACAATTACATATTTAATTTGGACTTAGTAAATATAAATACTGTCAATGCTTATAAATCAATAAATCAATTTATTGTGGACCATAACACATTTTGTGCGACCTTATTCAAATATAATAGGTTTTGGTCACAAATATATTTAGTATACTTTGTAACTATTATACAGTACATGTCAACTTATTAATATTTCATCAATTTATGTTTGAAAATCTGAATTTTGAAATAAAAATGTTTTATGCGATTGTATTATTTATAATAACTTTTATTACGTTTGCATTACAATACACATATGCCATGATATCAATACAGTAAACATGACTTGTTAAATATAGTTCGTTAAATGCTTAATAAAACATATTTCTTAAAAACATATTTGATAGTTTTAAATTAATAATTATAATTTATAATTGAAATCTAAGTTATTTTCTGTTAATAAATACAATTTATTTGTGGCAATACATGAATCGATTATATTATGGGATTATAAAATTAACTATTCATAGTTAATATTAATTCATATGTCAATTTAGTTCAAATTAATAGAACAATTATTTTATATTATAAATTTTGCATATAGTATATGTAATAGGTTAGTTATAAAATATTAAAATTGTTAAAAATAATATATATTTAAAATAATATCTTTAAACACTAAACATGATAGACAATTAAATATATTGAATATATTAAGATGATTAAAATTGTTAATTATTTTAAAGGTAAAATAAAGGTATATACGGTACAGTATAGTAAATTAGTATATAAATTAAAATGCATCAATAGTTTACCTTTAAAAGATTGCCATGATTCAAATAAATTAATTGATAATCTGCAAAAATAAGTTTTATTTCTTTTAAATATAAAAATTAAATTGCCTAATAAATAATATTAAATAAACAAATAATAAATAGATCACGATAATCATAAAACTTTATATTATAATGTCACATATTTTATTAAATATATATGAATACACCAAAAATATTACATAATTTTTACAATAGTTGATTATATAATAAATTATATGTATAATATTAATTCACTTTTATATTCGTATTTAAACCGGATAAAATATGCTATAAATTATAAATCGACTAAAATACTTTAAAGTTATTTAAATTTTGAACAGTGTTAACACACTATAATCACTGTGAAGGTCATTGTTTGGGCAGGCTGTGTCTGAAAGGTTGTGCAGGACATTATCAACAGTGATGGCCACGAGCACTTCAGTGGACTCGAGTAACAGTAACTGCCGTTCAGATGGGCGTAGAACTGGTGCTCCTGTATGTCCTCAACTGTCCGACACAGACTTTCCAACACGTCCTGTAATAGTTGTCACTACCGGTGCTCGACTTCAGTGGACTCGAGTAACAGTAACTGCCGTTCAGATGGGCGTAGAACTGGTGCTCCTGTATGTCCTCAACAGACACGTTCGACACATCCGCCCAAACACTCGCCATCACTGCCATCACTACCAATACGGCCATCAATTTGCAGTTCATTTTATTGTCAGTTTTATTGATCTATTAAAATACATAATTAATTAATTAAAACTTTTATTATTATAATTATTACATTCATTACTGTACCACAAGTTTGTTGTTTTTGTTAAATTATAAATGTTTTGAATTTTGATTACAACACAAAATGTCTTTTATATGAAAATGAAGATCCGTTTAGACCTTCATATCTATCTATCGTTTATTAGTTGCGAAATATATTTGTTTATTTGATTTGTTTACTAAACCAATGATTGCATCAATTATACCATAAATTGATGAATCCGTCAATTGATGTCTATTTGAGTAAATCAAATAAAGTTTATTAAAACGGATTAATTATTATCACTCGGTTTCATATGAATTGCAATTTGTAAATAGATACAACTTGTATTTATTTTAGTTAATAGGTTTGTAAAAGATATTTAAGAAAATTAAAATACTATAGTATCCTGGTTGAATGATTTGGTCATTGTTTTGGATGTATTTCTTATATGCTTAATAGAGCATAGATTTAAATTACAACAAAGTATTCTGGACTATTTTTTAGACAAACATTAAAACACATTACTGTACGATGTTTCATGTTGTATTATGTTTACAACATAAATTCATAATATTCATATTAATAAAAATCATTAATAGTAAACAAAAGTTGTGCTAGCTTAAATCTTCTTTAACTTTATTATTTTTAAGAATATAATGCAATATTTAAAGCATTGTTATTTTGTTTTAATATGATATAATTTTAGTATTTTTTCATTAATATAAGATGTTTAATTTTAATTTTATTTTATTGATTTAATTATTTCAAATAGAAATACATTGATTAAATTAATAAGTATTGAGTGTCTGAACAAAAATTCAATCGATTTGTAGACATTTCAATTCAAAGACAAATCATGAAACAGGTATACTTTCCCTGAAGTATAACACATTTGTATTGATAGGTACACCCAATACGAGCCATTAGATTGTGCTGTTGTCCGGAATAACAGTAACTGCCGTTTATTAGAGCCATCATCTCATTCATGTCCATCACCTCAACCGAGTCATCCACAGCCCAAACACCGGCCATAACCACAATCACCACCAAAATTGTCATTAATTTAGCGCTCATTTTATTGGTTATTAAATTGTTTAATTAATACCTAAAATAATAGCGGTTATATAAGGTATAAATAATAAAATAAAAATTTATTGTTAGTAGTCTTACCTTAAGGTTAGTATTATAAAAGTCTTTAATATAATGGTTTTTTGTTTTGACTTTTATATTCATTTATGATCCGGTTACTATTTATAAAACAATGAAATAATTTATTGCGAAATGCAATGCTTACTGATTTATATCCAATCTTTAGAGTGACCAGAATCCTTAAATAAATTTGTTTAGTAAATAAATAAATGAATCCTTATCATGTTAAATGAGTTTATTTTGTGTGAAATTGGTTAACAACTTATAAGACCTAGTTACTATTAAAGTCACTTTTGTCTGTTATATTAATAATCACAATCTAATTTGTTATTTATAAAAAATAATTATTTAAATTAATGGCATTTTGAATACTAGTTTTCATATTTAAAACAGTGTTATTAATAATAACTTATTATTATGACCTATGTATTTTAAGTTATAGATCATTACACTTTTATTTTATTATGTGTTATCTTAAATTAATTGTTTACTAAAATCATAGCATTACAGTACACGATATTTGTGTATAATACATGAATAGGATATCAAAAAAGATTTATTTAATAATATTTTTATTTACATTGACAAAATATTTACAAATTGCAATATTTTAGTTTACTGTATTTAATATAATTATATTTCCAATAAGCAATTATAATACATGAATAGGATATCAAAAAAGATTTATTTAATAATATTTTTATTTACATTGACAAAATATTTACAAATTGCAATATTTTAGTTTACTGTATTTAATATAATTATATTTCCAATAAGCAAACTTTGTATTTAAACTACTAAATAATAATTAATTAATTTCTAAGAACTCAAGCTAAATAATAGGATGTCAAATAAAAACTTAATTTTAATATCAATATTATGTCAATATAAACATCATGTATAATAAATGATTATATATGAGATATGGATCACAAAAAGGATTTGAAATCTAATATAAAAGGAGTTTCAATAACCACTTATAAATTACTAAAACTTATTAATCAAACTATTATTTTTGAGAAAGACGTTATTGAAAATTAATAGCAAAAATGAACTGCAAATTGATGGCCGTATTGGTGGTGATGGCAGTGATGGCGAGTGTTTGGGCGGATGTGTCGGACATGTCTGTTGAGGACATACAGGAGCACCAGTTCTACGCCCATCTGAACGGCAGTTACTGTTACTCGAGTCCACTGAAGTCGAGCACCGGTAGTGACAACTATTACAGGACGTGTTGGTATGTCTGTGTCGGACGGGTTTGTTACTGGAAGTGTCATTAATATCACATAATTATGACAAGTTTTAAATTTATTGAAATTTCTTAAAACACCGATTTATAATTTATAGCATATTTTATCCGGTTTAAATACGAATTTAATAATGAATTAATATTATACATATAATTTATTATATAATCAACAATTGTAAAAATTATATAATATTTTTGGTGTATTCATATAAATTTAATAAAATATGTGACATTATAATATAAAGTTTTATGATTATCGTGATATATTCATTATTTGTTTATTTAATATTATTTTGTAGGCAATTTAATTTTTATATTTAAAAGAAATAAAACTTATTTTTTCAGATTATCAATTAATTTATTTTAATCATGACAATCTTTTAAAGGTAAACTATTGATGCATTTTAATTTATATACTAATTTACTATACTGTACCGTATATACGTTTATTTTACCTTTCAAATAATTAATAATTTTAATTATCTTAATATTTAATTGCCGTTAAAAGATGTTTAAAAAATGTTTAAAAATGTTTAGTGTTAAAAGATATTATTATAAATATATATTATTTTTAACAAATTAATATTTTATAACTAACCACATTAATTACATAATACTCTATGCAAAATTTATAATGTAAAATAATTGTTTTATTAATTTGAATTAAATAAATAAATCATTTAAAATGACATATAAATTAATATTAATTATGAATAGTTAATTTTATAATCACAGAATATAACCGATTAATGTATTCCCACATATAAATCGTATTCATTAACAGAAAATAACTTAGATTTCAATTATAATTAGTACTTTAAAACAATCAAATATGTTTTTAAGAAGTATATTTTATTAAGCATTTTAAAACTATATTTAACAAGTAATGTTTACTGTATTTAATTATACTCAAAATAAATAAAAATTTAATTATAAATATAAGTAAAATATAAAACTTTTATTTTTTAAAAATTAACTTTTCATGTTAGACGAGGTGGCCGAGTGGTTAAGGCGATGGACTGCTAATCCATTGGGCTCTGCCCGCGCGGGTTCGAATCCCATCCTCGTCGCTACCATTTTTTGGACATTTTATTTTATTTATTTTAACCAGGGTGCTTAATAAAAATATGCAATATAAATTACATCACTGACTTGCCTTAATTTAGAAAATAGATTATATACAGTATATATTTACTTTTAATTTTGTATTTATTAACTTTCTAATTATCTATTTTTAAAAGGAATATTCTCTAAAAGTTATTTTATTGTAATGAATTAAAAATAAATTAAAATTTCATTTAAAATTGAATTGAAAGAATTATTTTGATCATCAAAAATAAAAAGCAAAAATACACACAATACTGAAGGTTATGCAGTATAAGATTATTACTACTTACAGTCTGCATATAAAAATGAATGAATTAAAAATGTGAATGTATGAAGGTCGTATTTATTATGATTTTATTATCTGACTTGTGAGTGCTTTGAGTGAATTGATAAAAGTTTTATTTATAAAATGTAGAATCTGTAGTAAATATTTGTTATTTAGCGTAGTCTACGAGAATGTCTGTTTTAACCGAGATGCTTGAATTTATAAAAACAGATTATCTAAATACAATAATTAGTATATTAATTTCATACGTTGTCTATAAGCTAGTTAAGTTTTACCTACGTGTATGGAGTTTGCCACCGGGACCAATACCATTGCCATTAATTGGGAACTTGTGGATGAGTATGAAATGATTAATTTATAAATTTATCAAATTACAGAAAATATCAGTTATTAAATAAAATATTTAACATGGTTATTTATGATCATAAGTGATTGGAAAGAACAAGGATCTAATTGGGGGAATGACACAGTTATGCGACAAATATCCCAAAATGTTTACCTTCTGGATGGCCACCAGAGCCTCGATTGTGATCACAGACATCGAGTTGTCTCGAGAGGTGTTCCGCAAGAATGAATTCGCTGGCCGTCCCACTGATAGCTATACCGGTATTTGGATTTATTTTGTGTTTGTAATTGAATTAAAACTATTTTATAGCAATTTTATATTATTATACTGTATTCCAGATATTTCCAAACATGTTGATAATCTCTTATAACATAACTTAGCTTGTTTATTGCTAACAAACAGGTAGTCTATTCTCAAACGAGGATTACACTGATATTGTGTTCACGAATTATGGCCCCAATTGGGAAGCGCTGAGACGTGTCGCACATTCAGCCGTTCAGTATGTCTCACAATTAGTCCACAATTTTTTATTTTATATAATTAAGAATAAAGCAATTCATGTATTATTATATTATATTAGCAAATATGCCGTAAGTGATAAACTTGTGAATTTAGTGAATGATTGTGTGGATCACACCATTAAAAGTATAGTGGACCGGGAAGGTTTAAGCAAGCCCTTTAATCCGGCTGATTATGCTGGGCACCTATTATTCAATATACTATCCACCAGTGCTTTTAACAAAAGGTATTTATTTAGTCCAAGAATTTTCTAAATACTATTACAATTCTGTAAAATAATCTTATATTCTTATTATGTTTTTTATTTTCTTTGCAAATTAATAATTAAATATTTTTATTAAATTGAATTGCAGTTTAAGTATAGATGATCCGGAATTTCTACACATTAAATATGTGATGAAAGACTACAGTAAGGAGCTAGGTGCTAGACTACTGTTTTGGGAAATGTCACCACTTTTTAGATCCATTGATCGCAAAGAAGTGGCAAAACATAAGAAACTGTTTGAAGACTTTAAGAATGATCTGATAATTCAATACAGAGATCACTACAAAGACTACTCGGAAACAGTTATCCGTGATTTTTGTGATGCACTCATAAGTGCTAAGAATGAGGCCCTCAGAGACCACAAGGAATCGGCCCGGTATCTGACTGATAATAACCTGGCAATGGCTGTGTTTGACCTGTTCCTCGCGGGCACCGACACCTCACAGATTACATTGAGATGGATGTTATTATTCCTCTCGTATTATCCGGAAGTGCAGCGAAAGTTGAGACAAGAGATTGAGACACAAATCGGAGACCGAATGCCAACACATGAGGACAGGAATCGATGCCATTATGTCATGGCTTTCATCGCTGAGACTCTGAGGTTCAGGAATGTTGCCCCACAAGGGGTCCCACACAGTGCTGTTGTTGACACAAAAATAGGTTATATTTTATGTTTTAAATTATTTTATTTTATTTACAATTTGTATTTTTATTTTCCTAAAACAGACGGCTATTCAATACCTAAAGGGATGATAATATTTGTATTCCAGGGATATATACTAAATGATGAAAAGCATTGGACAGACCCTCACAAACTAACACCTGAGAGATTTCTGGACAGTGAGGGCCGGTTCATGACTACCCGTCCAAAGGCGTACATCCCGTTCGGTGTGGGACGACGTGTTTGTTTGGGCGAGAAGTTAGCCATCGCTGACCTCTTCCTAGTTTTGGTCACATTTCTGCAGTCGACTCAAGACTACGATATAATCCTCGACAGTCATAATGGTCTCGACAATGATCCTAAAATTCTTGACGCTTTCACTCCAAAGGACTATAAAATTATGTTTAAAACAAAAATTAATTAATTTATATAATCTATAAATTATAATACTTTTTAACAAATAAAGATGTTTTAAATAAAATAAAAAAGTAACCAATTAATAGGGAATCAACAAACCTGTAAATGTTGGTATAATTATCGCAATGATCGCAAAACAAATGATTTAAATATTTTGAAGGACAGCCACTTTGACAGCCGTATTGAATCACTCTTCTCAAGGACTACCAAATTATTATTGTTATTATCAAACATTTCATTGCAATTGTCTACAGAATCATCATTTTTATATTGTGTTTAAAATGTCTTTTTCATATCAAATATTACAATATTTCACATCTGATATCAAATACAGTATTATAACTATATTAATTGCACTAATTGTCTATAAGTTGGTGAAGCTATATTTATGTGTTAAAAGTTTGCCACCAGGTCCAATACCCATACCACTCACTGGGAATCTCCTTAAGTGTTAGTGAGCAATAATATTTAATATTATAATGTATAACCATTTATAAGTATTATATTTTTTATAAAGTAATTAATTTTAAACAACATTTTACGGAAACATTGAGCGATGTATCGGCCAATTATGGGTCGGTCTTCACCTTCTGGTTGGGATACAACCCATTCATTGTCATCACAGACATAGACATCGCAAAGGATATCATGAATAGCAACGCCTTTGCCGGTCGAGCCAAAGGATATTTTGGTGAAACACTTGTAATGATTTACAATTAAAAGATTACAAACTTATTAATATTTAATAGCCAGTCAATTTTCAAATGAAAATTATAGCGACATAATATTTGCTGATTACGGACATACCTGGGAAGCACTGAGACGGGTGGCCCACTCGGCCGTACAGTAGGTGTCCCTATATTTAATAGTTTGTAAAATAGTTTAATTTTTTATTTGAAATACAGGAAATATGCTAAAACAGATAAATTAGCATGTTTAGTTAGTGATTGTATGGACCAAACTGTAAAAACTATTCTGGATAAAGAGGGCACCGGTAGGCCGTTCTGTCCATTTGATTATATCTATCATTTAATATTTAATATACTGTCTGCCAGTGCTTTCAATAAAAGGTTAGTTAATTATAGTTTTACTAGTAAAATGACTATTAAATGATTATGTTATAAAATGTGTATATAACAGTTATAATATAGATGACCCGGAATATAAACGCCTAAAATATGTGATCAAAGATTTTGCTCGGGAACAGGGAATACGACTCATGTTTTGGGAGTTTGTACCCATTTCTCGGTATTTTGATCACAAAATGATTACAAAACAAAAGCAAATGTTTGAGGACTTCAGGACTGAATTCAACAATGAATACAAAGATCACTACAAAGACTACTCGGACTCCGTTTGCCGTGACTTTTGTGATGCACTCATAACCGCTAAGAATGAGGCCCTCAGAGAGGGTAAAGAGTCGGCCCCTTATCTCACCGATGATAACCTGGCAATGGCGGTCATGGATCTGTTCCTCGCGGGCACCGATACCTCGCAGTTCACGTTTAGATGGTTGTTATTATTAATGACATATTATCCGGAAGTACAGCAAAGGTTGAGACAAGAGATTGAGACACAAATCGGAGACCGAATGCCAACACATGAGGACAGGAATCGATGCCATTATGTCATGGCTTTCATCGCTGAGACGCTGAGGTTCAGGAATGTGGTCCCGTTTGGGGTGTTTCACAAAACGGTCGTTGACACAAAAATTGGTAAAAATTGAATAATTATAATATAATTGTAACAAAAATGTTGTCAATATTTAGGAGATTATTCGATACCAAAAGATACGGCTATTTTATTGTTTCAAGGCTATATTCTTAAGAGTGAAAAGTATTTTACAAATGCCCATCAATTTCACCCTGAGCGCTTTTTGGATAATGATGGTCAGTATATGACTACCCGTCCAAAGGCGTACATCCCGTTCGGTGTGGGACGACGTGTTTGTTTGGGCGAGAAGTTAGCCATCGCTGACCTCTTCCTAGTTTTGGTCAGTTTATCTGGTGTGGGACGACGTGTTTGTTTGGGCGAGAAGTTAGCCATCGCTGACCTCTTCCTAGTTTTGGTCAGATTTCTGCAGTCGACTCAAGACTACGATATAGTCCTCGACAGTCATAATGGTATTGATGGCGACCCTAAAGTTCCCGAAGCCTATGCCCCTAAAGACTACAAAATCAGCTTTAATAAAAAATAATTTTAACTATAATAAGGATTAGGGATGGGAATTTCACAGATGTTGAAATAAATAATGTTTGCTACTACTGTATTCATGAACAGGTAGTGCATGTTTATAACATGTTATGTCACTAATACAGTATAAGTTATACTGTATTAATATTATGTAATCATCCATTTCAAGTCTTTGATGATAAACTGAAAATGTTTGGGAAAAATAAAAGCTTTACTTTGGATTAATTTAGTACTATATATATTACAAGATAATCGTAATGAAATTAATGTTACTCACATTAAATTGTAAGTATAAATTTAAACAGTATTGTCAATTTATATAGTTTCGGAAGATATCTAACATGAAAAACAAATTATTAAATTAAAATTAAATTTTAATATTTTATTATACATTTTTATAATTTTTGTACAATCTGTTTAATGATTTAACAAGAATAAAATGTCAGCAGGTCAATAATTAAATATTTAATTAAAATATTATAAATTTAATGATTTCGAATTTATTATAATTTTGTTAGTATTTTACAATTGTGATTATAATCATAATTAATGAGACTAAAAAGTAATCAAATGAAATGTGATGAAGTTGATATTAAAGATATTCATTAAATAATTTCGACATAAGTTATTGTCTTTTAATTTTCAATAGTATTTTATATTCTGGAGGGGAATAAGCGTCGACTATATTAGGGTCGGCATCAATACCATTATGACTGTCGAGGACTATATCGTAGTCTTGAGTCGACTGCAGAAATCTGACCAAAACTAGGAAGAGGTCAGCGATGGCTAACTTCTCTCCGGGACAAACACGTCGTCCCACACCGAACGGGATGTAAGCCTTTGGACGGGTAGTTATGAACTCTCCCTGTTTATCTAGAAATCTCTCGGGAATGAACTCATTTGCTTTCTCCCAATCCTTATCATTACGATTTATATAAAATATTTCCCGATAAATGTGGTCACTGCGGCCGAACCAGAGGTCACAGGACAATATAAATTACATATTCTGACTCAACATTGAATGGACGTTCACATACAATCAAAAAATCCCGATTTCCAGTTAGCCAATTCTGTATTGTATTATGACAGTGTTCTTTCTTTGATATAGTTATATCATTATTTATTAAATATTAATATTAATACGTTTCTCTTTCTTAACTAATAAATATTTCTCATTAGAAAATAATTAACGGTATATATTAGATAATTATAGCATAATATTATAGTATAGGTTCTAATAAGTCATTTAAAATAATTAATATTTGACTACTATATAATATATTACAATTTCATGCAATAGTTTATACTTCTTATACAGTAACTACCTGTACAAACTACAAACTTGTACAAACTATATCACCCGGATGTAACGGTATTAGAGACTACTGAATAAGGTATCACTTGATGTAATGTAATCATAATAAATGCTTATTAAATGATATTAAATAGAGTTGTTTAGTAGATCTTAGATTATAATACAAACTGTAATTCAATAACAGATTATAAGATAATTAACGGACAGTGAGTGTCCGGAACTGGCATTACTGACCTACAGAAACACGGATATGTTATAATCCACGGCCCCTTCAGACTAAAGTCGGTCTCTCGATAGTCTTAAGTCTAATCCAGGCTGTGATTGACCACTTTTTCGTCGGCCATGGCATCGCATTTATTGTGGGTGCGGCTCTATTGACCTAAACTTAAATAACTTAATGACCAGTAGATAAATATATGCCGGTGCCCTCTTTATCCAGAATAGTTTTTACAGTTTGGTCCATACAATCACTAACTAAACATGCTAATTGATCTGTTTTAGCATATTTCCTGTATTTCAAATAAAAAATTAAACTATTTTACAAACTATTAAATACAGTGACACCTACTGTACGGCCGAGTGGGCCACCCGTCTCAGTGCTTCCCAGGTATGTCCGTAATCAGCAAATATTATGTCACTATAATTATCATTTGATAATTGACTGGCTATTAAATATTAATAAGTTTGTAATTTTTAATTGTAAATCATTACAAGTGTTTCACCAAAATATCCTTTGGCTCGACCGGCAAAGGCGTTGCTATTCATGATATCCCTCGCGATGTCTATGTCTGTGATGACAATGAATGGGTTGTATCCCAACCAGAAGGTGAAGACCGACCCATAATTGGCCGATACATCGCTCAATGTTTCCGTAAAATGTTGTTTAAAATTAATTACTTTATNCCAGAAGGTGAAGACCGACCCATAATTGGCCGATACATCGCTCAATGTTTCCGTAAAATGTTGTTTAAAATTAATTACTTTATAAAAAATATAATACTTATAAATGGTTATACATTATAATATTAAATATTATAGCTCACTAACGCTTAAGGAGATTCCCAGTGAGTGGTATGGGTATTGGACCTGGTGGCAAACTTTTAACACATAAATATAGCTTCACCAACTTATAGACAATTAATGCAATTAATATAGTGATAATACTGTATTTGATATCAGATGTGAAATATTGTAATATTTGATATAAAAAAGACATTTTAAACACAATATAAAAATGATGATTCTGTAGGCAATTGCTATGAAATGTTTGATAATAACAATAATAATTTGGTAGTCCTTGAGAAAAGTGATTTAATACGGCTGCCCAAGTGGCTGTCCTTCAAAATATTTAAATCATTTGTTTTGCTATTATTGCGATAATTATACCATAATTTACAGGTTTGTTGATTTCCTATTAATTGGTTACTTTTTTATTTTATTTGAAAACATCTTTATTTGCTAAAAAGTATCAGAATTTATAGATTGTAAAAATTAATTAATTTTTGTTTTAAACATAATTTTATAGTCCTTTGGAGTGAAAGAGTCAAGAATTTTAGGATCATTGTCGAGACCATTATGACTGTCGAGGACTATATCGTAGTCTTGAGTCGACTGCAGAAATGTGACCAAAACTAGGAAGAGGTGAGCGATGGCTAACTTCTCGCCCAAACACGTTTCGCTGTATAGATAACATATTTCACTGTGAATTACTGTTATTTTATTAACAAAATTTGAAATTAATCTATTTAATTTAATATATTTTTAAAATTATTTTATAATATAAAATTATTATTAATTTTTAACAAACATACTTAAATGTATTATGGTTAAATACATAAATAATTGGGGAGTGAGCTATTTATATGTTATTGCAATTATAATTAGTAAATTATTAATTTATTTAAGGCAATGTATTTTTAGTATGCCATTTATGGCAGTCTTGACTAATAATTAAAGCAAATTAATAAAACTATTTACAAGTGTAAGAGTAAATCATTAATTATATAAATTATTAAATTTTTGCTATAATATTATTATAAATGATTTATTGCAGTTTATATTTGTTGATTTAAATAAAAAATTATTTTCAAAATTACTTTTAAATTATAAAGAGATGTCATCAATCTAAATCGCTAATCCAAATGTATATTTTTAAAATGAAGTATAATTAAAGTAATTAAAAAAATATTTTGTTACAGTCTATCATATCTAACATTATTGATTGTTATTAATAGAATTATCAAGCAAGTAATTTAATAAATAAAATATTAAACATCGACACACACCCACTTTACAAAAACAACCTCGAGCAAAGGTATCAAGACATTTATCTACATTTCTACTGCATGCATTTTGACAACTTACCCTGCACATATCGTACGCTTCATCTTAATCCGAAACTTTTGCGAGGGTTTGTCTCACCGGCACTGTATCTGAGGTACCCACTCATTATCCCTGCGCCTATTAAACTCCTGTATGTTAACAACCCTCGTTACATTTAGACGGGCAGTCCCGAGTAGTACCAGGGTAGAATTGAACACTGGACACGATTCTTAACATTTGGAGTTATATTTTCTGTATTAAAAAATGATCACAAATTTAAGCCTTTCCATTGATCCGGTGACAGGGGGTCGGGTGTCTTAGGTCTCGACCATTGTTATAAATATCACTTATTTAAGGACATGTCGGTGTGTTGTCTATTATGCATTTGTCACAGAGCATGTTTAATTAGTTGTTTATTTCTTAAAAACATTTATTTTATATATTATTCAAATGCAAATTTTTAATTTAATTAAAAAATTTTCTTTTATATAATTATATGAATATTAATTAAATATGAATATTAATACGTTTCTCTTTCAAGTCTAATAACTATTTCTCAATAGAAAATAATTAACGGTATATATTAGATAATTACAACACCAATATCATAGTATAGATATGTGCCGTGATAAACAATTTAAAATAATTAATTTTTGACTACAATGATTACAATATAGTATATTATAATTTAATGCTGTAGGTTATACATCATATAGATATTTATACATAAATTTAGAAATTGAAGTTAGCATTAAATATAAATATAATATTAAACTGCTAAATGACAGCATGGACAATCCAATCCACATACTGATAGTACCGCCAATATTATAAAATAGGTCGTTATAATCCATTGCCAATTGTTCAGTGATGTGTGGCACAGAGTAAAGGTTAGGTATTAAATTGATCTGGGTGTTATTCAGATTAGACCGGATTTTAACTACATTAGTCTCAATCATATTTTTAAAACAAAATTCTTTATCTATATCCAGCATTTCACATTTTGAGTTTATTTCACTCACAATAGTCTCGTTCACAGAATCCGTATAATTAGCGCAGAATTTATATCCAGAATATTGCAAATGCTGTTCAATACTAATACTATACTCGACTCCCATAAGTGGCAGACAATTGAATGTATGGTTGAGTTCACGAACCACACAATGAAAGCTATTTTTGTGTAAAAAATGATTTTCATAAAACAGTCGCTCATCCCATTCCCCGTCATTTTCTCGGCACTGAAACGTACGGCGATTTAGCTGTCGAAAGGATGTCGTACTGATCCGGATATGCGTTTCGCTATACATTTCAATGACATCTAATATTTCCGATTCCGTGGACTCTATGCGAAGAAACATTCCCAGAGC